CCAGACAACTCCCCTTAGCCTAGGGCACTTGTGCCTGCACCATGTCCAGCTAGGTGAGCTCCACCCCGTGTAGCTAGCCCTAGGCTAGGGAAAGCCCTGCTTTCCCACCAAGAGATATTCTGCCCAACTTCTCACTGGGGAATTCCTGCCTGTGTACCCGGGGACATAAGGCAGCTTGGCCAACACTCATAAACATTCCAAGCTGTTGCAGGAACCTCTGCCCAACCTCTGCAACACCAAAGCAGGCAACCCACCAGCCTTCTGGGGCACTCCCCTGAGAGGGAAGCCGCAGGAGGATAAAGTGGTAGGTTAATTCCATAGTGAAATTAGCTGTAGGCAGTTCGAAGAAGCATTCCTACAAGTCTCCCAGAAAGAGCCAGTGCTCTTCAACTCCCTGGAAAATGGCACCTGGCTCCCCTAAAATAACACAATGCAAACAGCCATCAGCCCCAATGATCTCAATGGAAAACACAGGAGGAAAAAGTAGCAATGGCAGAAGATGTCCTGAACATAACGACATGCATAGAAGAAGCAGACATTGAGCTGCCACAGAAAGAAATTTTCAGAATGCTTCTTGGAGTCATACAGGATATGAGGGAAACAATACAGGAAAAGGATGAAATGATAGAGGAGATAAAGGCCATACACCAAAGGGAAATACAGGAGCTTAGGGAGGAGATAACAAAAACCAGTAGCAGAAACATGGACCTTGAGAATTGACTGCAGAGAACTGCACCAGTGACTAGGAGGACAGCCAAGCAGGCTTTAACAAAAATCTAATAAGATCATTAGAGAAGCTGAAGAAAACCTGAGAGCTATGTCTGATGCTATGAAGCTGAACAACATTAGAATCATTGGTTACCAGAGGAAGACACAACAAAAAAGTCACCTGCAACAATAGTGAGAGAATTCATGGAGGAAAACTTCCCCAGCTTAATGAATGAAAAACAGGCAGCCATTCAGGGGGCTGAAAGAACACCAACTAGATTGAATCCCAAGAAGTCACCAACTTTGAGGAAAAGGAGAAAATCATGAGAGCAGCTAGGAAAAACAAGCAATCACATATAAAGGTTCCCAAATTAAGAATATGCTCAGACCTATCAGCAGAAACTATGAAGAAGAGGAGAGAGTGGAGTAACATATTCCAAAACGTGGTAGTGCAATAGGTTAAGCATTGGGCAGCTAACCAAAAGGTTTGAACTCACTAGCTGCTCTGAGGAATGAGATAAGGCAGTCTGGCTTGTTTTTGTAAGCTGCTCTCAGATGTTTTTCTTGCCTTTTTGGGGAAAATTTGACCGATATATGTTGATGACTTTCTTTTAGGGTCTATACTGTGTAGGGGTTATGAACTTCTTAGGTGGAAACTGTCTCATTGTTCATGATATGAAGGACATTTTTTTTTGTCAATACATCTTCAAAAGTTCTGTTTCTATTTTCCTCTCCTTCTATACTGCAATTCAGGTTACACGGAATGTCTTCATCTTGATTGTGCCCCATACCACTCTTGATCCATATTTGTCTATCAATAATTTCCTCCTATTTTTGCTGAATAGCACTCATAAAAGAAACAAAAACAGAATCATTGAGAAACTAACAAGTCATTCCTTGGAAAGGCTAATGTAATTGATGACACTGAAGCAAGATTATGAAGAAGAAATGAGTGAAAGAACATGAGAGAAATTTCCATTTTCTTCACATTCGTGCCAATAATTGGTGTTGCCAAGTGGTGTCATTTTAGCTATGTATAGCATCTTTTTGCATTTTTCATTCCTATTTGCCTAAGTGTGCTGTTTGCTATTTGGTTTTGGTCTTTAATGGGGTCATGGAAGGGAACTGAAATTCAGGAAGTCCACTATGGTTAAGAAGGAAGTTCCACTTCTTGTAAAATATTCTTAAAGGGAAATAGTTAGTCTTAAATTAATAAATTATATGAACACCTGAAACATTAAGTAGCAAAACATGTAAATCACTAACTAGAAAGTAATTTTCATTTCATCATTTAGCACACAGCTTTGCTTATCCCAATGTCTAGGATGAGACAGTGAAAAGAAATGTGTTTTGAAATCAGACCAGAGGTTCAAATTTCATTTCAGTGTTCCTGAGACAAATGACTTAGCCCATATAAGCCTTAATTTTTCCACTTGGGAGATGCAAAGAAACAAGTTTTTACCTAATTATTGCTAGAAGACTATTTTAAAATGTCACCAGAAGGGCCTTCGCCATATATGCTAATTTACTTTATTGTCTCTCCATACTAATGCTTTAGTTCAGGGCTCAAAGAAAGACCATCAATGGTCTCCACTCAAGCACTTACTCATTGCAAGAACACATTATTC